CCCTGAGTGGAGCTGCTGACCCAGAACAACCATATGGCTCCACAGCACCTATGGCCCTGGAGAGGATCCAGCCAGCATGTGTGTGTGTGTGTGTGTGTGTGTGTGTGTGTGTGTGTGTGTGTGTGTGTGTGTGTGTGTGTGTGTGTGTGTGTGTGTGGTGTGTGTCAGTGTGGACAGACTCAGTAACAGCTGTCTCCTGCAGAGCTCTCTGGGGAATAACTGACCTTTTGCTGCTCAGGTGATTGTAACACTATTTTTTCCTCTTTCTTATTTAAAGTCATCAGTATTGCCCTGCTGAGGAAATGTTTATTCTTAAAGGCCCCATATTATGCAAATTTCCCTGTAGAATGTTTTTTTCACAATAATATGCATCCCCAGCCTGTCTACAAACCCCCTAAAATGAGAAAATTCTATTCTCTCCCTCTTTTGCTTGTTCCAGCTTTCAGAAAATGTTTCTCAAACGGGCAGATTGAAACTATCAGCTTCCATGACGTCACGGACGGTGATAACTCCTCCCCTCCAGGTTGGTGACCCTGCCCAAGATGTTTGTTCTGCCCCCCGAAAAATGTTCACTCAGACACTCTGGCACGGCAATTGCTCTGTTGTTGGCTGCAGGAAGCAGCACAGAACTCTGTTTCCGTAGACTGCAAGAACATCATCACAAAAGATAACTATACTTACAATATTGCGCATCCCCTAAAGAACTCCAAGTTACAAGAAGACAGCGAAGATGTAACCGTTAGCAGGAGCTAATGTTAGCTAGCTACATGTAGGTCACTGTGTACCAACACATGAACAAAGTAAAAAGAAAATATCAAACACATAACATTTGTAACTAACCATTCAGAACATCCTGCTGCAGTTACAGGATTATCTTCAGGAGTCTCTCTTTCTGGGTCAGACTCTGGATCAAACTGGTACAGCTGGACCACGAGCCATACCTAGCACGCTGTGTAAACATTAGCACATGGTACCGTAGCGCAAGCCATACCCTCTCTTCCAGAGAGACAGGGAGGGGCGTGGCTTACGCTGAAGGAGACGTGGACAGGCACGGACAGGCGCAGCCAAGTCCAGGAAAAAAAATGGGTTTTTAGTCAACAAACTTCAAATTGACAGTTCTGGGACTTCTGAGACCTATGTGAACCTGCTGAAAAGGAGGATAATATGGGACCTTTAATAATGTAATCGCTCCACTGTACCTGTGTGAGACTCACATGAGTTTAGATTAAAAAGGGAAAACTTCAATTATCAACACCCTGCAATAAAGTGCAACACATATAATGTAAAATAAGATTTAAAAATGTAAAGTAGATCATGTACTACAGGCCAATGAGAGGCCTTTAGGGGCTCTGACTAGAAAAAACAGTACTTCTGTTATGCAACCAATTTTAAATACACTTGTGTCCTAAACTTGCATGATATATTGTGCATTTTAACCACAGTAATAAAAGCAAAGGAAAATTTTGCAGCAGGCCTGTGGGGTTATAAAGAAGATTTTGCCCAGAAGATTTGATCAAATTATGCTAACTTTTCTTTGAGACTACTTTCCAAACTATGCATAGGAGGAGAGCTTTACATCATTAACTTTCTTATGTAAATAAGAACATGATGGTTTTATAACTTACAATAAACTTTGCTTTTAGTGATTGCATCATTTAGGAAACTCTGCTTTTTAAAAACTTGCACAATTCAGTTGATGATGTATGGAAACAATCCTCTGTTGCACCTCGTGTTGTGTTGCTCCCCTGCTGGAGTCTGGTGTGTGCGCTGTGGCCACATGGTGTCTCTGTGGTGCAGCTCAGAAAGGTGTGAAGCGGGACTGTGAGAACTGAAACTATAACCTTCTTTAACACCCGGACAGAGGCTGTCCATCAAACGGAGCAGAAAGAGTTAACTGGATAAAAAGTATGTAGACTTATCTACAGCTGTGACAAAAGAAAAGGCAGCTTTGTTTTACACTCTTAAGCGTGATTTGGGAATGTGATCCTGGTTTCCCAGCCGGGTAGAAAACAGGTGCTCTCGCCAGTTGTTCTTTTGTCCCATTACACTTCTCTCATATTGAAAGCGGAGCCTGCACCTGTTAGCATTCCTCAGCTCCACTGAGAAAGACACAGGCATGCATGAAGGGAAAAGAAGAAACACTGTGGTGTGATATAAATGTTTTATAAAGAGGCTGAAGAAAAGATCTTGTCAAACAAAACAAATATATTTCAGAGTTTTTTCACTACCTGTTAGTTATTTTGTTGTTAAAAGGTGACACAGGCAAGGCTTTATCCTCCTAAATCTTGCTCTACCATTGTTAATCTGACTTAGGTTTTTTTTTATCATATTCTTGTGAATGCAGGCCATCCAGATTTTTAATTTTCTTCATTATCACAAACTTAGTCTTAGCTGTTTGAATCCTAATGGGTCAAAACCTCACAGCAATTGAAAGTAACTCCTGAAACGACCTAATTACAAAAAAAGTCGATCCACAGAGAGGAATCCGGCACAGTTTACCTCTACCTGATGATACTGTGGCAAAAAGTATCAAGTTTCCATCTCAGGCTGGTCCTTTAATCTGACAGGAATAACAGTCTGTGAGTGCAGAAGTGAAAGCAGCTTCTGGGGAACTTCTGGACCCCAACTGTTTCTGATAAAGAAAAGGGGAGCAACATCCTGTCCTGCAATCCATGCAACAGGAGCATTGTGTAAGTCTCTGATCTCTAGAGAAAAAACTTACACCAGATGATGTGATGATAGTAGCAACAGTATTAAATGTAGCAACATTTGACTCATTTACATTTCATGTTAACTGTAAAGCTCAGAGAAGAAGATGTAAATGAGGGCATACATGTCAACAGGAGTATCCTTTTCTGTGTCCTCTAGTCACGTCTGCTTTAACCACTGACAATAAAACCAGAAGATGTTCCTGTGAAGTCTTTTACTCTAAAATGTAACATGACAGAGAGGTGATAGCAAAAGATTTCTGTCACTGACATAATTCATTACTTGCATACAAAAGTTATACATGACTTTTGTAATCTGAGAGCAGAGTGAGCACACCTCTCCTCTGTTTTTTTGTGCTAATATGAACAGCAAAGGCGGGGAGAGCAGTAGCAAAAACCATATAAAAATGCATATGGCACTGGTAAGATTAGACAAAACATAAAAGGAGGATCAGCTAATACACTGCAGGCCAAGCTTGACTTTTGGGTCCTGTCTGAATTAATGCTGTGCTCAATTTCTGGCTTGAGCTTCTTAGGACTTCAAAAAAAGATGGCTGTTTAAAATCCAGTTTAAGTAAAAATGTTTAAAAAGTGCCCAATCAAATTTTAAATCAGGCCTCTGGCAGTGTGTTGAGAAATGGCCCAAGCTCTGTAAAAAATCAAATAGCTAATCGTGATCCAAGACTATGAGGTGACCACTGCAGGAAAGATCAGACATCAGGGAAAGTGAACTCTGGACACCTTGTGGACACGCCCCTTCCTTAAAGCATAACCAATGTTTCAACAAATAACATTTTTATCAATTCAATCATCCCCAAATCAATACCTTGAATCAGCTTGTTCATGAACCACTTGGATTAATGTCATTATCATATTCATCCTCCTTACAGCCCTAAAAATGACAATTTATCATAATCATCAAACTAGACTGGTTTTTCTCTGACAGTGCATCAGTTTTCTAAGATGAAAAATGGTTGAATTTAGCACATGAATGTCCAGACCTGATTTGACTTTTTCAGCCAATGGTGCTCACCATTAGAAATTCTAATTTGCATAATCACCGATTCACAGTATATTATCCCTCCTTTAAAGCTGCAGTGCTGCTTTTTACAAATTAAGAACTGAAGTTGTATCACTTGCTGAAAATTGCTCTGACTTTTCAATGGTATTTTTTATGGATTTTAATTTTCTGAACATTTCTAGTTGCAAAGTATGAATCAATCACCATGCTCACTGTGCAGAATCATGAAAAAGCATGGTCCCAATACACTTAACAATTAAACAGAAAATAAAGGGGGAAAAAAACAGCAATCAAATAAAAGCAGGCGGGAAAAAGGACAATAAAATAAAAAGAGGGAGAATGTTTTGAATCATTATAAAAGACAAAGGCACCTCAGTTTAAATGTCCTAAAGCCAGAATGCCTGTGTTGTTATGAGAGGATTTATAAGCTGGGGTGGATCCTGGGTGATCATGGGTGTTGCTCTGGCCACAGCTGTGCAAAGCTGTCTAGAGGCTCTGATGTCATGTATAATGGGAGTCCACTGGGATAGAGGGATGGAGGAAGGAGTGAGGGGCAGAAACCAGATCCCTGCCCTGCTCTGTGCTCTACTCTGCTCTGCTGTGCTGCTCCAACTGAGGGTTAATGTGGAGCCACCTGCTGCACACACACTGCACATCTGATACCGCTACACAAACAGGGAGAGAACAAATCATGCACTGATGGAGTTTCTTATATTCTGCCTTTGATAAAAGGCGATTAAAATGGGAGTAAAACTTAAACGTGTCTACCTTTGCTTGTGAGAGCGCAGGAGGAAGAACGAGGAGAAAGGAAGGAAGGAGGCTGACAGTTTGGGTGACTTAATACCTCTTGATATTTCATGGCTGGGGGAATGTGGCGGCACTCCCTGCTTTATGGAGCTGGCCTGGATTATTTCGTTGGATGGAGTCCTGCCCAGAGGAACAGCTGAATGATGTCATACAACACACACACACACAGTCACACGCACACTTACAAGCATTTCTGTTCGTCCTCACACTCAGGCTGTGACTCTAAAGTTGAAGTGTTCTCGGTGCGGTTTTTGAGGGGTTTTCACAGAGTGGGATGCTGGGTAATTGGGAAGGTGAGCAGAGAAAAGGTGGGTGTGGTTTCCTAATAGGAGCCTGGGTTGATTTCACAGAGGGGTTGTGGAGGTGGAGGTGGGGGTGGGGGGACGCTGGGGAGCAGATGTGTGTTTGAGGAGATGAGAGACTGAGGTGGGTGTTTTCAGAGGGCTCAGGAGTTGCGGGTAAGCTGACCTCATGGGGCATATGGCTGTGCAGATGTGTGTGTTGTGGGCTCACATGAATGTTTGTTTGTGCATGTGTGTGCAGTCTGCACAAATCAATGTCTGGGCTCACTTTTAATGGGTGGAATCAGGTTCTTTCCCTCCACCACCCTGCTGCTCACAGAGGAGCGTGTTAGCATGCAAAGGCCTTCGCTTTCCTCCTTCATATAAGAACCTAAATATGGAAACAGTGATTGGAAATTGTTTAGACAACCTGAAATGGTTTATCCCAGGGCTGTGCAGAGCTCGGAGATCAAAGCGGAGGAAACATGAATCATAGAGAGTTTCTGTACGGAAACAAAGCCTTTGCCTTTCTTCCCTTTGACATACACACGGGCACAAATAAGAATGTTAAGGAACATAAAGAGAGCGAGGCAAAGACGTGAGAGGAGAAGCCGAGTTCACTGTTACTGACTCCTCTGTTTGATCATGCCGAACTTGACAACACAATGCCTGCGACGTCACTCCCACCGTTTAATTGTCTCACATTAATGAAAGAGTCATCCAGAGTTACTCTGAAACAACCTGCAAAGAAAAAACCTCTCAAGAGACGGAGCTCTACAGAGATTATTCTGTAAACTCTTCACCTTAAAGTCTTTCCTTCTTCTCTTTCCCTCCTCACCATAAGGATCAGCTCCACAGCTCCCCAGAGGAGCAGCGTCGATCACAGGTTGGGCAATAACAGATCCACCAACTGAAGAGCATCGCTCACTTCCAGCCTTATCCACTTACTCTCCCCAGGGATGAGCCAGAAGGAGAGAAGACACAAAACTACTTGATGACACAATTTAGCCCCAGAAGCCAAAACTCCCTGACCTTTCACATTCTGCCTCAATATTTCAGGCCCTTCTTTTGTTTCCTGCTCAATAAATCTATCACCTCACTTTCCATAAAGTTGGGACATCCAGTATGTTTACTTGTTGTCCAGAAACATAGATGTATTGCCTCAGTCCAACTAAAACTAGACTATTAAATACATATGGAAACAATCCTCTGACTGAAATTGTACCGATACGAACTTCTCAAAGCCACACCAACATACAGAGATAATCAACTGTTTTGTTTTTTTTTTTTCTTTATGTACACGCCTCCATTAGATTGAAACTGGCCAAAGTACTCTGCACATGCTGAATGGGATGCTCACACCAAGCGTGAGTAAAATCATCTACTCCCTTAATTTGCGCGAATCTAGACACGTGAATGAATATTATTTACTCGCTTTATTTGCGCATCAACAGTAATTTCAACGATAACCCCTGCCAATTCAACAGGCAGGATCAAGTGATAGTCAAAGGTTTTTTACAACTTGCCACATAATCCGACCTCCTCACTCACTTACCTCCAGGTGAGCTCTTTTTTATTCCAGTTGCGTGAATTGAAAGAAAAGGTATCATAAAATTTGGGGCACCCACACACCGACATGATCAGTTTGTCCTCCATTTTAGATACCATTGAACAACCATCCGTTTTCATACATTTTCCAGCAACCCTCATGCGAATATCAGCTCAAGTTGAGACATTTTCAGCTCCCGCCCAATTCATGTCATTTGCGCCACCAGAGTAGTACGAGCGTCTAATCGCATCCTTACATTGACTTAACATGTAATTCATTGGCGTGAATGATTTTTACCTGCACTTGGTGTGTGGAGACAGAAAGAGTTTGCATGCCGGGCTTTGGCCTAGAAATTGATTAGCGGAAACACATTTCTAGGACGCAGTTCAGTCATCAAAACTTAGACTTTCTATTAGAAATCACTGCATGTCACTTTAAAACCATTGTTTATAATCACAGTGTGTTGATTTTTAAATATGCATGTTAAAATAATGCAAAGAGATTGAACTGGATTCAGTGCAACTCTTTAGTTAACATGCACCATGAGAAGGGCTGTTCAAAAAGCTTTTGATAAAGTTCTTAGAGCAGACATTTCCCCCCCTCCTCTAATCTCTGACATTATTATCATGGTTCCATGCAAAGGCTTCGGGGTCAGAGGTCAGTCTCTCTCTGATTTCTTGCTCATTGGCTTTCAGTTTGATCAATCCCATTTTCATTCTTGTCATCTGTTGAAAAGAAGGAGCCCAAATCAAAAGAAGCAGTGAAAAAAAATATCTTGTTTCTGCTTGAATAAAAGATGAAAATGTTGAACATCAGGCTGTGCAGAGATGAATATCCTCGTTCTCACCTCCAGCCTTGTGTTTGCCCTCCTCCTCCTCTCTTCTCTCCTCTTTTCGCTCTCCTCTACTCCTGTCAGGCCGACGGGAGTGGCTGACTCACTCCTTTCAGGGAAGTGAAGCAGCGTTGATGTCATCTTGACGGACAGAGCCGTCCAGTAAATGCAGCAGGAATGACGTCAGACCTTGAACGCATCACTCGGGGCTGACAGAGGTGTGAGGTGATGTCAGGGTGTGATGAAATCATTATGCAGGCACATCTTCCAGGGTGTGATGTCAGCACGGCGCTGCCATGACTGAGCACTGTGCAGCTATTTCCCCTCATGTAGAGAAAGTAGAAAATGCATGATCTAAACAAAGATGTAACGTGTTTATCCATTACACACAGAGAGTTCCCACAACAGTCTGTCCACACTTAAAAGTTGTCAATCATTTTTTATTTATAGCACAAATACAAAACAAGCTGGTCCAGACCAGACCCTGTTTACAAAGACCCTGTGTAAAGATGGGATAGGATTGATTTTCATCTTGTAAGATCAGACCCATTTCAATCCCATGTTCAACAAAGCGAAACACTTCACAGCATTTAGTAAGTAACAGTGGAGAGGAAGAACTTCCTTTAACAGGCAGAAACCTCGAACTAATGTCAGACAGTCATCTGCTGAGACTGAACTTGGTTTAGAGAGGGAGAGAGGGGGAGGTGGAGAAACAGAGAGATGGACAGAGGAGAGACTGAAACTTGGAGTTAACGCTGTTGGAAAACAGGCAGCAAAACATCTGTGGCGGCGATCTAGAGGAATCTACAGCATGATGGAGTTCAAGGAGTCCCAACAAATGATGGTGATGATGATTAGGGAGCTATGGACTCTGTTCAGGGCTGCCTCTTTAAAGGAGGATTTAGGAGTTTGGTGTTGGACTGGAAAAAACCAGCAACAGTTTTCCATTAAAAATGTTCAGAAGATATCAAAACTGGTTCGAAAATGACTGTTTTTCTCTGAACATCCATGAACAGTGACAAGTCTGTGTCTGAACCCGATTTTGTAGAGAAATCCGCCTTTGTGTAGAGATACAATATTCACAGCCATATTTGAGCTGCATATTGACTGTGACTAAAATGATTGTTGTCTCTAACATGCCAGCTAGTTACTTAAAGTTCACCAATGAGCTCTCCCACCGTGGTGACCCTGTTAGGTATTAAAAGCAGCACTGCCAGGGATTTTGGGCCCATGACAAAATTTCAATTGGGTTGTATTGATGAAGACCACAGTCAGCAAGGGGGTCTTAAGATCTTGCCAACTAGCTTGTCACCAATGTCAGTTTTAGGTATGTGTTTGCAGTCCTCTTCTACCTCATCTTCAAAGACTCTAAACCTCCACCCATAACACGCTGTGTTTGTGATTTTAAAAAAAGGAAGCCACACTGAATCTTTGATTGTACATAGCTGGCATTTTAGCTGAAATATTCCCTTTGAAAAATGTCACAAAGATCATTTCTGTTCTCCTTTTAGCCTCAAAATAAACACTATCAAAAATTAAAAAATATGTCCCTGTCCTGACTGTGTGTTGGTTGAAAATAATGAAGTTGTTGGTTGTTCAGACCTGATTTTTCCTCGTTGTTGACCAAATTTTAATATTAAGAATGTGGTTCGGGGTCACAGGGAGGAACAAACACTTAAGTCGCTGGCCTGAGTGCCAGTGTCTTTTATGAAACAGGTGGGCATATTGAAGATACAGCTCCAGCATCATTTAAAAAGATAAAAAATATTGCTCTGATCTGACTGAGGGGAGAAGGTGAACAGTGCACCTCTCTGTGATCTGCACCTCAGACTATATCATGTGTCACTTTAAATATACCTCTGCGGATGGTTCATTTCATGGTCACTTGAACATACAAGGCATGCAGGATTTAGCGCCTGGTTGTGTCACTTCCTGTGCTGCTCATGTGAGGTAGGTTTCGCTCTAACTGGCTTAGTTAGCGTGGAGAAGAATTTCTTCTGTGTGTCCTCTCAGCTGGTGGCTCGCTGTGGCTGAGCCTCACAGAATCTTGGAGCTGACCAGTGGCAGGTGTGCGGACCCCCAACCCCCACATGCGTGCATGTGAACACTTAACTCATACACCTATAACACATGAGGTCCCTCCCTCTCAGTGAGGTTCTCAGGTTCCCCTGAAATAAGAGACCGGCAAACGATCTATCAACACAAAGATCAGGAGGTAATGACATACTTAACTCCCCGGTGTGTGTGTGCACATACATGCACGTGTGTGTGTTCGCTCATGGTCTCATGTGCACAAAACGCAGCCACTGCATACCCCCTTCCTCCCTCTCCTCCCATCTCTCCTCAGCCACTTGACAACTTTTGCCTCGCCTCATTTGCTTCCTGGTGAAGGGGCTGATTAAATATTTAAAGTATGGAGTACTTTCCCTTGGCATCAGGTGTAACTCACTCCTGTAATCTCAGATAGCCGGGTGCACTGTGCGGTAATTACAGTGGAGTTAGCCGTGTGAGGCGGAGAGGCTCGACGACAGGCAGGGCTTTGTTGTTTATGTCTGCTTACAAGTTTATGGACCTGTTCTCGTTTCCTCATGTGCCTGTGTGCAGGCTTGTGGCCTTTTTGCATCCACTCTTAAAGAATTATGATACTGCTTTGTTTTGAGATGCATGAGGGCATGTAATGAGGATGTGAACATCATAGAAACACTGAAGTCAGTATATTTTATCTTTCACTATATCTTCTAATATGCTAAATACAAGTACCACTTTCACATGATGCATTTTTTATAAAGGGGGAACTGTGTGTGCTGTAACTGTTTACTGATGCGAAGTAAATCAACTAGTTTGGGGTGTTTTTTAATAACACTGATTCAGTGAGTCAAGCAGCTTTTTCAGTGATCATTCACAGGTTCACTGTGACGCTAAAGTCATGTTGGTGGGGGTATAACGTAGCTGTAGTCATGTGTTTAAGACAAAAAGAGTTCCTGTAGATGTGGCCTGCGTTATTGTTCACAGTATTGATGTAACGGACTATAGCACAAACAAAATAATCAGCATTATAGGTAATGATGAAATTGTGTACTGATGATACAAAAGTGTTTAAAAGCCACCAGCTTTTCAAAGGCACCGTCTGCTTCAAAAAAAAAAAAAACCCATGAGAATGAGACAGAGCCAACTGCACCGGTAACAACATGGCAGAATCAGAAATTACCATCAGTGCTGTGCTGGTAAAACAGTCTGTATGGAGAGCAAAAACAGGCAGAACAAAATCCACCTTAATGGCATCTGGGCTCCCATCAGCAGTAAAATAACAATTTGTTTCTTCCTATAAACAGATATCAAGTGGATCAAACAATGACACTCAACTCTGCTTGATGCTGAGTCACTAAAGCCATTCAGCGTGAAGATTTCCAGACTTCTTTGAGTGCGTCAGAAATGATGGAGCCAACCTCCATTTATTAAACAAACATTTTAAAAGTGATTTTTCATTCTTCTTGATGACAGACATGACAAAGCTTGACTTTTTAATTTTTTACCTCAGTGGATCATGATTTATTTTAGAAGAGCAAGAACAAGAAGAACTTTGAACTATTTGTATACCTATAAAGGACAGATGGATGAAACTTTTATTCAACAGTCTCTAAAAGCTGTTGTGTTTTTTTCACTGTCTGAGGATGGACCTGATAAAGTTTGTCAATTCACTTTGTGCACATTTTTATCAGGATTTTGTTATTCCCATAAATTATGACCTAACATAGATTGTTAGGTCATAATTTAGGTCAATTGTTTTCTTTTTTTTGATTACACCAGAACCAGCTGTGTTGGTATATTTTAAGCACTTTGAAGCTTAGACATGTGATGAAAATACTTAACTATGTTTGCACACCATTTAAGATGCAGCAAAGTTACTTTCCTTCAAAAAGGAGCAACTGGTGCAATATGAAATAGCCAAATTTGGGGATCAGCACCTTTAAAATCTTTTTAAAGAATTAAAATCAGCATTTTTTTAAAGAGCCAGATAACCCATAAAGCCTGAACTACAAATTGTAAAGTTTTGAATACTTCAAGTGGATCTTTGTGCCGATTTCCTTGATAATTTTCACTTAACCCTTTCATGCCTGACATCACAAATTATCGTCAGAAAATTCTTATTTTTTTGGAGCTGAAATGTTTATTTCACTTACTACTGAAAGCCAAAAAAATCAAAATGTCCTAAAATTTAACCCTTTGATGCGCAACATATCCACACCCCCTCTAATGCGCAACATGGGTCTAAAAAGACCCGCATTCATTTCCAATGGTATTTCATGCTGGCTGAGTTTTTCTTTGTTTTATCTTTTGAAATCAGTTTATTTTCTGATTGAATATTCCAAGTATTCTTTAAATATCTTGTTTTTGATCACCACTGATCATTATTTCTATTTTTCTTTTCATACTTTATGAAATAATATAGTTTCTATATTATTACATCAAGTTTACACACATGGGTCAAAAACGACCCATTCATCCAAGTGTGATTTAATATTGAATTACCTAACACTATAATAATAATTTGTTTCAAGTAATGAAATTAGCAGTGAGTGGGGCCAAACCATAGACTGTATATACTATGGACAACTTGGTTCCGCCTACCACCTGTATACGGATTTGGAGCCAAAAAGCTCTCGATATTTCTGGGATTTTTCTACATTTCTGAAACCAGAGCTGCGCAATAGCGATGCACGCATTCGGCCGGGCAGTCGCCGAGAGTCGCTGTGATGACGCTCCGCTCAAACAGCATATCCCCCCAGGAGAGCTACGCAATCCCTGAACGCCCATAGGCTGTATCCATAGACTGTATATACTATGGACAACTTCGTTCCGCTTACTGCCTGTATACAGATTTGAAGCCAAAAAGCTCTCGATATTTCCAGGATTTTTCTTCATTTCCTGAAACCAGCGCTGCGCAGTAGCAATGCGCGCATTTGGCCGCACAGTTGAAGAGAGTCGCTGCGATGACACTCGGCTCAAACAGCATATCCCCTGGGAGAGCTACGCAATCCCTGAACGCCCATAGGCTGTATCAGGTGTCAATCATAGCAAACACGAACCCCTAATAACTTTTAAAAATGGAGCTACACAGAAAAAAAGAGGACTTGGTCACAAACCAGTCTGACAGTAACTACATGTCAACATCATAACCAGGAGGGATAAAAATTTATGTTCTGTGTAACACGTTTTTTAAGTTTGTCCAC